AACTTAAAATCTTTGAGTATGCTGGATCCTCTGTTGCTTTTGCATCCTTTTCCACTTCCAACAGCATATTAACAGAAGCAAAAAGGAGGTCATCTTCAAGTTGACTGGTTGTAATATATCGACAAAATAAGACCCAAAAGAAACAAATATTATGTAATATCTGGTTTATCCCAAGGATTACCCATGTCTTCTTTATAAGTTCTAATACTTCATCGACTTCTTCAATAACAGATGTTTCGTCGTTTACATCAAAGCAGGATTCCAGGAGTATTAGGTAAAGGTGAATATTCAGAGGAATTCCATCTGCCCAGTGGCATATTTCTGACACAGAACCATCAAATGATCTGCAAGCAAGAGACATAACAACACTGCGGAGAACTTGCATTGGTTCACTATGCTTCCCCGTTTCTATGGGTTTATCTGCAGCTCCACATATGATCTTCCGAAGCTGTTGAGGGGCCATTTCTGTCTTTGCAAGAGGCATGTGCGGATGCAAAAGAAGTCCAGCTTCGAGTATTTTCAAGATTCTCCTCTGCCATGTTTCATATTCTCGCAGACTAGGAAAATCCGAGGATCTGAACTGTTGCAATAACTCTAATGGCAAAACCACAGACTCAACACGTCGTCCAAGCTGATAATGAAAAATAGGAGAGGACATCAAATTATTAACATATTGCAAGCCAAAAGGTCATCATGCATTCAATCAATTTATGCTCATCAATCTCGCCTACGTTGTTCTTTAAACTCGTGAAAGCTTATCCCATCGGATAACAAAAGAAAAAAAAGTGGTAATTGAATGATTTAAACTTGTTTCCTCACAGTTTCTCTTTTCCCCTACAGTATGCCTTTTAATGATCACCTGATAAAAAATAAGTAATTTCCACTTGAGACATTATAAAATTTCTACTGCCCCAAATGTACAATAAAACAGTGTAGAAATTGAACAACTTTCCGAGCAATCAAATGTGAAATTCCGATTCTAACCTGCCCGGCGGCAACTCTGAGTAAACCTCGTCGGACTCTGGAATCGATTTGCTCCGAAACCCTCATCTGGACCCTCATCAGCTCACCAACAGTCCCTGCTCTCTTTTTCACAGAATTACCGATCCCCTGACTCGCTGACTCGGAATTCTCCTCGTTCTTCTTCTTCGACGAGGATTTCAGCCCTAGAGCCTTCTTAAGCTTGCTCGCCGCAGATGACGTCAGCGACCTCTGAAGCGAGGGAGAAGAAGACGACGTCATCGGCTGCGACCTCTCAGTGGCCCTTACTGAACTGGAGATGTAAGTGAGGGGTCTACCGGCCCCGGAGCTCCGGCAGGATCCGATTAGGACTTCGTAGGCGGTCTCCCTGAGCTCCGACGGTGATAGGTCCAGACCCAAGTCGCCAAAAGGGTTGGGGATGTCACCTGTATCGTCAAAAAATTGAAAAATCCCAATTTCATTGTCATCGGAATCAGCTATGTACTCATTTTTGCTGGTACGAAGGTGGATTGTCGCCATGTCTCTGTAAACATAAATCAGTATAATATGAATAATTCTTCGAATTGCAGCACAGAAACTTGAAATTATCAAAATACAAGACACGGCACAAGCAATTTCTGAGTGGCGAGGGCTATAGAAAAAGAGAAAAAGTGTGTAGCAGAAAGAAAAGGGCAGAGGAGGAAGGTAATGGGTTATATTCTTGCTTGACTTCTAAGGAATGGATGATTATTATATGAGTGGCAGCCCAAGGGAGAAAAGTGAGTTGGATTGGGAATCCGAGTGAAAACCGAGTCCAAAGAGGAATCAATCGGAGATTGAAACGTTCAAATTGAAACAGCCTCTTCACGGTTTAATTCTCCACCCTACGCGTAATAACGGCTCCTGAAGAGAGAATAGCTGTCAGTATTGAGGCAAGCTATTCCATATGTTCATATAAAACTGTGTTAGAAATTCAACACGTCAATAAAATTTTGAGAGATTGAAAACTTGAGTAATGTTATTCCGTTGACCTGAAAATTCTGATCACGTGGCTAACGGTAACACCCCAAATTCTGTAATTCGAAGCGATACCAAATCTGAATTTTTTTTAACGTAAATTTTTCAAATACAGATTAAGAAAAGCTTTTAAATTTGAATTTATTAATAAATATTGTAAAGGCTTAACCATTTTTAACATATGGACTAGAAAAATACGGAACAAAATGATTTGAAATGAGTTTTTAGTAAAAAAAAAAAAAAGCAAGCGGAAACAGTTTTCTCCGATTGCATAGTGAGTTTATAAAAATTATTTGTCTTAGCAAACCTTGGCGATCATTTATGAAAATTTAGCAGAGAGTATATAACACATATAAGTACAACATATAAAAATCTAGGATCTCGACGACGACTTTTGTAGCACAAAATTATTTTTCAAACAGACTCGTCAGTGTTTCCCGAATCTAACCGTCACAATTTACTAAAAATGCTATAATAAATTACACGGGACTCCGATCGACCCTTTTTCAGTTGCATTTGATAGATAACTTATAAAGGGTCATTTTCTAATTAAAAACATGTTGAAATTCTAAATATACAAATAGAAATAAATTTTTAAAGACAATGGTAGAATGTTGAAAACTCATGAAAACATATGTCCAAACGTTAAACTTTACCGTCTCGAAATGTAAATTATAAATCTTTGGACATCACAAGAGTTGTTAAATATAAAAAGTGACAGCCTAAAACATAAGAAATCAAATTCTGTAAAATAAATATGCCATTCATACCAAGTCAGGATCTTCAATTACTCTGAAAATATTAGAAAGGAATGAGCATCTCAAAGAAATACTTATTAGGTTACACATGCTATATGAACACAACAATCATGTATTCTTATATATTGCCTTCATGAATAAGCAAATCAATGAACTACTTAAAGTTATGATGAGCTTTTGCGACCATCAGTTAAACATATAATTTAGTTTTGATGAGCCTCTACAACCATCAATTAAACATATAATCTGTATGGCATTGACATTTAAGAAGAACCATTAAAGGCACTTCACATACTTCATGATGAAACATAATGAATAATATATATGAATGAAAATTAAATTCATATAACGATCAACTTAGTATAGGAATCCTACCTTAATTCGTGGTGATAAGGCAATGACTACGTTGAACGGAACTCATTTCTAAAATCTTAGACGTAAAATGTTTTATGTCTCGCCGTTATCTTTGTATGTATTTTCAAATAGTAAGCCTTTGTGTGTATTTAAAAGGAAGCCGTCTATCATCGAAAGTTGGATGAAAATGGGTTTTCAAATGGTAGAGTTTGAATAGGAATATGTTTCCCGTTTTAGTATTAGGATAGGGCTTTAAGTAATTTTAGGTTTGATTATAACTTTTAAAAATATATGTATCATTTGAATAAAACTAAACACGTATAAGTTGGTCTTTGGAATCGCATGGGCAATTGGGGAATGGAAATACGATTAAGTGGAAAATTGGAATTATGAAGGGTCCAGTAAGGGGCAATTGCACCCACGGGATTTTTAATGGGTCCGCCTAATTATACTTATAAAAAATTACCATCTTCGCTAAAATTTGAAAAATTAAGCTTTCATGCTAATAACGTGTTATGAAAAGAAAAAAAAAAAAAAAGAGCGAATATGAGTCGATAGACTTGTGTGTGTTTTATTGATAATCAAAATCTCATATTTATAGTGGAAGATTATAAATATAATGATAATAATTTTTAGGACTGCATGTGTACAATTATCATTCACTAATAAACTTACCATTTACAACAAATTCGAATTAAAGTTAAATATCATTTTAAAAATTAAATATTTTATTAATTTCTACAAATTTTAATTCTCAATTATTAGACGTTTTATCCAATGTTTATAAAATCGAACAGGACTGAACCGGCCGGTTCAACCGGTAAAATTGGGAACTGAACCAAAATCCGATCTGATTATATCAAAATAACCGATTAATTAATAACTGGTCAAACAACTGAAAACCCAATCAATTAACCAAAAAATGGGAATTAAACTAGAAACCGGTCACGATTTCTGGATCGGTTTCCAAAACTTTTTTTTAATTATAATATATAATAAAAAGTTACCTTATGGAGCTCTTTTATAACTATTTCTAGAGTTTCATAATTGATAAACTTTCAATTTTGAATTGGCAAAATTTAATAAAACACACTTTCAATAAACTTTCAAGATGGGATTGATAAACTTATTATTTATGGCTACATGGTGCATGACTACAAATTAAATTACTCAATATCTATAAATTGCTATGAGTTTTTTTTAGCGATCAAACAAATTAAAATTTATATTAAAAAAAATAAATTTGACATATTTGCATTTATTTTGAATTGATGGTGTAAAAATTTAATTATATATTGTCGTGAAAATAAAATTTAAATATTTATAAATATTTATTTATTACCTCTGGTTTCACCCCGATCAGATATTGGTTGAACCCTTTGACCCTTGATCCTTTTTCGTTTTTCAGGTCGATGCTCGGATCGGGTTTTAAAACATTGATTTTATCACATTACTTTTCTGAAAATAATTATTTCACGCGTTTTGTCGCATTAAATTGCATTTTCCTTTCTTATTTCTGACCAACCTCGAGTGGGGTTGCTTTTAAGTCATCCAAACGGTTAAATGACAAGTCTATCAATTCCTTTAGTCACTTAAATAAAAATAAAAATAAAAAATTAAAGTAAAATTAAAATATTTTAATTCTTTATTCCTTTAATTATTTGACATTTATATTTCCTCGACTAATTCCAGATATCGTCTATCAACATATTCTTTCAAAGATAGAAAATATAAGTCAATCGAAATAACAACAACATTATTAATCGGGTCGAATACATCGACTAGGCTTTATTTAATAACGAAGTTGACGAGTACAGATACGAACTTAAGTGCACACAACATTGGCTAACAGCCTTATTGAGTCGAGTCGTGTTCTATCGACTGAATACATAAAACATTAGCTCATAAACCTTACTGAGCCAAGTTAAGGGTTTGCACTTGCTCCGGTAACAAAGACAAGAATTGAAGCGAAGCAAAGAGTGCATTTTGAACGGCTAATGAAGAGAAGACAGAACCTTCGACAGAAGAAGCGTCACCAGCTAAATCGGAAATTGCCTTGATTGCTATAAAAGGCGTCTTTTGTTGGAGACATACAAGGGCTACTGCAGCACTTTCCATGTCGAATAGAGTTGCATTGAACTTAGAATGCAAGAAATCTCGATAGGCAACATTGTCTACAAACACATTAGCACTCATCCCTCTTTCCGCGCTAACTAACTTTGGAGGTCGAGGTAAACACGTAGTAGAATTGACACACCTTCGGAGGAAAAAAGAATCCTGTACAGTACAAGCAAGAGATTAAAAACTAAATTTATGGTCGATCAAATGATTAAGACAAGATAGTAGAAAACTAACCTCAAGTTTCTGAGCAAGTGAGAAGTAGAACTCGTCAACAGGAACCCAAAATGCCTGCTGTCTATTATCAGGTTCTCCATCAACGGAATATATCTCTTCCGGTTGATACCACAGGTTGTTGAGAAGGTTGTCCGAATATTTCGGATTTGTTTCGTATTCGGAGATATTAAGGTAACCGATTTTTCTTGTAAAGTCTCCAATGGATTCAAATGCAAGTTCATCACTAGGTCCATCTCCATGCCTCTGATCATATAAAATAAGTGATTATACACGAACTTTATCATGATAGGGGCTATATAAAATCGATATATTCTTCAAAAAATCACTATTTGGAATGGTTACCTGCCAATACCAGACGCCAGAATGAGCCCAATAGTGAGGGATAATAACATCTGCTATTTGTAATTGAGGATCTGCACTTCCTGATAATCCAAGTTGAATTACTCCTTCAATATTGAATATATTTATCAGCAACTGCGTTGTTATTCCTGCATTAAGCTATAAAAAAATAGTTTAAATTAATTATGTTGTACCTCTAAAAGATAATCTTATTTTTCCTTATAAGCGGGATATTATGAAAATGAACATACCATACCGACTCCAGACAAGACAGAAATAATTTTCTGATTTACTTGGACTTCAATATGAAACCTTCTTCCTGTTTAGATGGCAAAAACGAAGAAAATAAGCAAAAGATTTTGGAATAGTATAACTGGAGATTATGCTATTTTCTTCTTGTCTCCGTGAAGATTTGGTAGAATCAAACATTTTTTAAGAAGATTGACTAGTAGTTAATCGTGTAATCGTACTTCAATTATGTTCATTTGGGTGATTGAACAAATCCTTATGTATAGAGGATTTGTTCACAGGGGCCTACAAGGTCCTCACAAGGGGCCGGGCCCCACATGTATTTAAAAAAAAAATTTGTGCGGACACCACACCATGTGTTGTCTGTACAATGTCTGTAAAAAAAATTCTGTACACCAAGGGGGTTCTGGGTGATTACAATTATCTTTATATTTCAACCTGATAACTACGTCCAATTCCATCACTTGCTAGGAATCGATGAAGTGACGTAAAAAAATGATGGCCATCATTTGTTTCAATGAAGTTGTACTTATTCCACGTTAATAACACGTGATGGCCATCATTTATTGACTGTGACGTCATCAATTTTAGTCCACAGAATTGAAAAAAGTTGCTTTAGTTGAAATCAAATCAAATCAAATCAAATCAAAATGTAGTTACTTCATCGAAATTAAATTAAAACAAGTAGCCTAATTGAAATTAAATTAAAATATAGTAGAGTAAGTGAGATCACTGCTAATTGAATTTGCCTTATTTTTTTCTTAATAATGTATTTACTCGAACATCTAAAGTATTTAGACGTTTAAAATAACTGTGACAGGTCATGTTGAGTAAGATCTACTCCATCTTGTAACATGTTCAGTTGAAATCACTTCGCTATTATAAACAAAATTCTCTTTAGGTACACACAAAACATATTCCAACTACTCTAAATATTGTTAAAAAAACATAGATAGATGTTCAATATAAACTAAACGAAATACTAAAGCATATAAATTAAATTTCAAGTAAATAATTGTATAACCTGCAAAATCCAAGTAGGGAATCGTGGAATGAGGGACAGAACTTGAAGATTGGAGAAGAGAGTCCCTCAGCAAATTGCTGTTTATTACAATACCAAAGTAAGGACACTCGTTGTTTATAATGTTAATCATTTCAATCAAATTCTGAGAAATTGCACCATCTCCCACATTAGTAATACTCATAATCATCATCATCGTAACCCATCCCAATGACAAAATTCTCACAACTATACTCATCTTTTCTTCTTAAAACTCAGACTACTGAAACTTCTCAAGAAATGTAATGTATATAAAGAATGCAAATATACACGCACGTTTTTTAAATTGGTTTCAGTGGATAAGAAGGGATAGATGATATCAAAACTTGACAATGCCAATTCATAATTCAGTCAAGTACAATTTTGTTTTTAGCAATCCATTTATATTGTAATAAAATTAATGGAAAAAAAGAGAGAAATATATGGAACAAATAGAGAGTTAAAAATGAAGTATGTATTTTATTGAGAATTAAGACCCGTATTGTAGCGACCAAGAAAAAAAAAAATCTTATGTCGTTTTCAAATAATTTTTTTTTTGTAGAACTCGAAAATAATATGATTTAAATTATTAAGTCGCTACGATCTTTCCTAAGAGTTCAAATTAAAGATTTGTCACGATAGTAAATTTGCGCGTACTTGTCTTAAAATTTTAAAGTTGTGATGACATATCTTAAATCCAAAAGTTAAAAATAAGCCCCACACACTTATTTGCATAAAATATTTATTTCTTATGTAGTTGTA